CTGCTCTGCACTGCCCAGTACCTCAGCTCAGGTCCCCACCCAGGGCTTCCAACCAGATCACCAAACCACACTAAAAATAGCCAGCTCACTAAACCAGCTCTTGGCTCTAGTCACTCCACCTTCAAAGCACAGAGACTAACTATCCTGCCCTTCTGCAAACAAAAGGAGAATTCACTGCTCCATCTATTTATAAATTGCTTATTCACAGCTAGCAAGAACAAATTCTTTTCAGATGAGGAGCTTGGGGAAAGAGATTATGCTTTTTCTGGTTCCATGCTGAACACAGCCCAGCACCCAACCTGGTCATGCATTCATCCTCTGAGGTTTTTCTGTCTCAGCTCTCACCCAGAACCTGTGGCTGCCTTGCCCTCCAACACACAGAGCAGGAGGCAATCCTGCTGCTAGGCCACACAGAGCACAGGTTTGCTAGTTAAACCAAGGTGTATCCTGCTGTAAGATATATTAATATCAAATGTTTCTATCTTCTTTTCTCCACTTCTGACTCATCTAGAGGATGCCAGGAATCACTGGACTAGGCAAGTGTTCCCAGCTCTTGGCTAGGCTGGAAGAGCAGCAATAATGAGAACAACAGTGGAAAATGTCTGGCCAAGGACCAGGCTAGATGTTTTCCTGTCTTGCTGCCCAGCCCCTCACAACCATCTCACTTGAGCAGGAGCTCCCAGTGGTGCTGCCTGGCTCCTGGCACATTCTCCAGGATTACTGATGGAAGTGTCAGAGAAGCCTTTGAAATCCACCCCCAAACAAGCAGTGCATTAGTTCACCTTCCACAACACACTTCTCGAGTTGCCTGCAAGCCACAGACAGGTTGGCTGATCAATACCCAAGACAGCCAGAAGGAAAAAATACACCTGCTGGACTTCCTGACATTAGGTTATGAAAAAATATTGAGGTTGTTAACGATTTCCTGTTCAAAAGTAGGAAAATAAGTATTGGTAACATTGAAGTGATGGCTGTCCCCATGGCATTTGTCCACACTCACTGAGAGGAACTTCAGCTAGGCTAAGAACTTTTCATTTCAATCCTCAAAAGACTAGGGCAGAGAAACCTGGAAGCTTTCAGCTAACAGAGCTGGAGAAGCCCTGAGCCTCCAGCACAGCAGCTGCTGTGATAGTAAACGTGCTGGATTTAAACCCACCACCAAGGAATAAGTGACAATGCTGCCTTCAGCAGGTCACCTGCCCTTTGGGGTGGCCAGCCTGTGCTGAAGCCATCATCATTATTGCACCTCAGGAGGCACCACAAAGATAGCAGCTCATCAGCACCACACCCACACCAACTCCAGACCAACTGCAGCCTGGTCTTCCTGGAGATGGGAGAGCAGAATGGGACCAACTGAGCCCACCACATCCCCCTTAGCCAGCTCCCTGGGATGGGCTGCCTGCAGGATGCCTGTTCTGGCAACTGAGCTCCTGCATTCTGAGCTGGGAAAGGCTGAGATGCAGAAAGACTGCTTGGAGAAGGCTCCTTTCCCTTAGTGGATAAGCAGCTGGATGGGTAAGGCTAGTTTGTACAGAACTTGGAGGAGAAAGAATTATGCAGAATCTTGGTCAGCTCACACTGGGACAGAGTGAGTAGAGTTACCAGTTAAAGCCACTGCTGTGATGCTACAGCATCTTGTGGGATGGGACCATCCAGGAGGGACTCCTGGGGGCTTCTAAAGCATCTGTCAGAGAAACAAGTGCATGTACCACAACACATCTCTCCTGCATGACCACAACTCTGATGGGATGAGCTCCATTTCTGCAGTGCCACTGGCTTGCAGAACTCTGGTCAGACCTGAGCAGCAATCAGATCCCACTGCTCTGTGGTGAAACACTCCAAAGAGCATCTCAACTTTCCAGGAGGGCAGAGCAGGGAAAAATGTCAAAACCAACCCCAAGGGAAGCGTTTCAGTACTAAATAAAGACTAAGGCCTTGTTTGCTGTGCTACCAGAAGGTATTTTGGCAGGTAACATCTGACTGCACAGAGCACAGCCCTGCTCCCTTGCCTGCTTTGGCATCCCATCTCCAGCCTGCAGATGGGTCTGAACATCTCTCCTCTTACCACATCCTGGTTGTTCTTTTTGCCATGTGAAATCAGAAACAGGCATGAAAGTAACCTGTGAGAGTTGGCAAAACACATCCCCTGCAAAAGAAGCAATCCAGCCTCTTGCTTCTTCAATCCCAAGGTGATGGTGCAGCTGCCTTGTCCTCTTTGTGCCTCTTAAAAAAATAGAAATCACTTTTTTACCTTTAGCTCTGCACTTCTGCTTGGCATATTTTAGCTAACTGGAGCTAAGAGTCAAGAAAAGTCCTGCTCTTACCATTTTTTGCCTTGATTTATGTGCTATTTTTCCACATTTTAAGTTACCTGTTCACAGCTGGCCTCACAACTTCTAACAGTTCTTGGCAGTCATGACTCTGCCTGATCAGGCTTTTGCACCACGAAAGAGAAGAAAAAACTAAAACAATGGGACATGTAATTAAGACAAGAGCCAAAAAAGGTGGATCAGAAGGATAAAGCCACTTGACTTGCTTTTGTAAATAATTTCATTTCAAATATTGGGGGAGTGGGTGTGGAATGAAAAACTGTTAAGCCTTGATCAAGATTTTACACTTCGAAGTTGAGAAAAGCAACACTGTGTCCTGCTGAGTGCTTGGACACAACCAATCCTGTGCCATTTTCACACATCACCAGTGAAAAAACTGATTATTGGTACCCACACACATCAATAGCCACTCCATGCTAGCTTAGCAGGCCCACTCCAATATTTTGTCCCTACCCTGCTTTGATCCTGTCTGTTAAAGAAGCCTTTGAAAAATCATAACAATGGGAGCCTTGAGAGGGTTAACAGAGCTCAGAACCTTTAATATCTGCACACCAGTTTGGAGAGAAGGGAGCCACAGGGGAACTAAACCAAACAATGCCTTATATACAGAGATTTCAGGCCAAGTGATAAGAGCTTTTTCCCCCTTTTGAAAGGCTCCTGGAACACAAGTGGACTTCTTTAGTTCTCTGTCCAGAGTTATTAGACAATTAGACCTCAATTAAAGTCAGCCTGGAGGAGAGAAGGCTCCAGGGAGATCTTAGAGCACCTTCCAGTGCCTGAAGGGGCTCCAGGAAGGCTGGGGAGGGACTTGGGACAAGGGCAGGGAGGGAGAGGACAACGGGTGACAATTTTGAACTGAAAGAGGGGAGATTTAGATTAGATATGAGGAAGAAATTCTTCACCATGAGGGTGGTGAGACACTGGCCCAGGTTGCCCAGGGAAGCTGTGGCTGCCCCATCCTTGGAAGTGTTTAAGGCCAGGGTGGATGAGGTTTGTGCAGCCTAGTCTGGTGAGAGGTGTCCCTGCTCATAGCAAGGAGGTTGGAACCTGGTGGTCTTTAAGGTCCCTTCCAACCTTCACCATTCTGTGATTCAATGCAATTCATTTCCTCAATTAAAATACCTCATTTTAGTTCCTCCATCTCATTTTAGTTTAGCATCTGCTCCACAGGCTGAAGAGGACTAACTTCCTCCACTACATTAATTTACACTCCCCATACACCTGACCCATAGCCCACATGTCCATTCATACTGGCAGGCAGTGAATATAACCTGGATTAAACAGACCATGCTACACAGCCTGGGCACAAGCTCAACCACTGTGCACTCAAAGAATGATGTGTGTATCCTTTGTCCCTGCCCTTCCTAAGGTAATTAGAGCAGTAAATAACCCTGAGGGGCTCTGTCAGATCAGATTTCAAAGTTGATCATTTCCCCCGCACAAGAACACGAGGCTCAGCTTAAAACCAAAACAAAACATGAAAAGCAGACACGTTCTCTTCACTCTCCCAGGACTCTAAAGTTGCTAGTGTTCCTTAAAATAAATAAATATGTCAAAACTTCCAAACCAACAATCCCCATTATCTGTACTTCTTACATGGTGCCAGGAAGAAAGGTTAGACTGTATTGATTCTACCCAAAACTGCACCTAGAGCACTTCAGCAGCTCAGCAAGAGCAATGTGTTCACACAGCTGGCCAGAGCTGCTGGGAGGAGTCACCGCAAGGAGAGGAAAGCCACAGTGACACAGCCTGTCCACAGGGTGACACAGCCTGTCCACAGGGTCCCCTCTTGCTCAGCACCCAACTGCTGACCCCAGCTCCCAGTGAGAGGCAGCAACTTGCCTTGTCACCCTCTAGCTGGATTTCCAAAGAGAAAGGTTGTTCTTTCCCCAGTGTTTGGCTGAGACAACCTGCAAATTTTTTTGTTATCTCCTCTCTCTCCCCTCCCTGAAAACCTCCCAGCTTGTGATGGCAACGAAGAGTTTAAGCAGAGCAAGCTGGGGATGCACAAAGCCATTCCATGCCACCCCATCATCCCCTGCACCTACACACCAGCATTTCTCTCACAGCCAGGCTGGAAGCTCCTGGGTGCAAGGGTTGTCCTTCTACCCTGCTGTTTGCCCAGCACACAGAGAAGCCTTCCCACACTGATAGGCTTCAGGTGCTCTCACAGTACAAACAGGAGTTGTGCAATGCCCTGGGGATTTCAAACCCTGGCCTCTCTCAGGCTCCTCATACTGATTCTGCAAATGGGCAGTGAGTATTTGTTTGTGAAAACTGTACATGTGAGAGGAGATCAGGGCTAGCTCCAGCCAGAAAGCATGCCTGAAAGTTAAGGTCCTTGGAAATCCCCTTGCAGAGTGCCTTGCTGATAATGCCCTGGACCTAAAACTTCATCACTAGCATCAACAATTAAGACTCATGTTTTAGAGACACACAAAATATCCAGCCCTCTCTTCACTACACAAGATAAGTCTGATTTGGCTTGGAAAAGGAACTTAACCATCTAAGTGATTTTACCCAGACAAGTTTTTGGACTGGAGGGTAAAGTTCACTATGCTTTTCACCTTTGCTGTTTTCAACAAAAGCCCTCACTAACTGGAGCTGCTCTCCAGCCTGCACCAACGATGGGTCATCTCCATCTCCTCTTGTCCCCCTCTTGGGGCTCACCTGTAGTCCTGGGTGAGGGTGACACAAGATTCCTCCTTCCTCAGCCTGGCCAGGAGTGCTCCACCCTCCAACTGCAGCCTGACCAGCCGGATGTCTTCAAGAACATTCTTCATCAGCTGCCTGTAGTTCCTCAGCAGCACAGCTGCCTCCTGGAGGGACAGCAAGAGGGAGGGGGAGCAGTTACTGCAACCTTCAGGCAACAAGGGAACAGGCAAAAAACAGTGCCCAACCCAAAACACACAGACCACATCTCACCTCAGCCCACCCTAGGAAGGAGGGAGCTTGGTTCCCACGGCTGGTTCCCTCAGGCCTGTTTATCCAAAGGGATAAACAATCCTCCTTCTGTCTCGATACTTTCCCCACCAGGGAAAACTGAAACCCAGTTCCTATCACCATCCAGACTCTGAGCATGGAAAGAATAAGCTTTCCAGCCTCCTTTTTCCTTTCCAGCTCCTTCTGCTCCAAGAGCCCAGACCTGCACTGCTCCAAGCTGTGGGACAAGATGCACGTGAAGGGTTTGTGGATACCCACATGCAGACAGGAAGGCCCAGAGCAGCCACAGTTGCACCTTCGTTTTACTGCTGGGACACTGAAGGCAGCTCTGGCAGCAGCTCCCTGCTCTGCCAGGGGCACAGCAGCTTCTCAAGAGCAGGGGATAAAACACACTTGCAACAACACTGGCTTGACCTTTGTACCTTCCTCCCCTTGCCCACTTCCACAGTTCTGTTCTGGAGGCAGCAAAGCTGGAACCACAGCCCAGCCTTGGCCTTGTCACCACCATCTGTGCTGTCACCTAACTTCTCACCAGGCCGTTCAAGCCAGCCTGGTGTGGCAGAGCCTGAGGAAGACCCCAAAGCCAGCACCAGCTCCAAAGCTGGGACCTGCTAAGAACACACTCCAGCAGCAACAAGCACAGCTGAAGGGATCTCCTGGGTCACAGTGAGGGAGCAGAGAACCAACTTCTACACCCAGTGAAGCCTCCACCACTTCATTTGGATTAGCTTCTTCTAATCCTGCTGTCCTGACAGCTCCACAGTAACACACAGCTCAGAATCCTCTGCTACTACAGCTTGTAAAACCAAAGCCACAGCTTCTCTGCAGCCATCCAGCCTCCTGCTCTCTTCTGTCCCAGCCCACCTCTGACCAGAGGTGAGGGACACTCTTACCTCAGCTCTTCCTGGTAATTTTCCAGATTCCACTTTATGAATGGCTCCCTGGAGGAAGGCACAGGCACCTTGGCATCCTTGTAGCAAGTGTTCCAGCTTCTACAAGAAGAAAGAATCAAGGCAGGTTAACATCTTGTGGCTTACAAGAAAGTTGCTTTTTCAGCTTGCAGAAAGTTGTAAGTAGAGAAATCAAGAGAATAGAGGACATGAACCCAAGGGTTAAATGACACCATTTGGGGAGGCTGTACCAGCAGAGAGGCCCATCAGAGGCTTCAGATGCCTCCATAGCAAGGCCTCTATATAGACCTTCAACTCATACACTCAGGGCTCATATGGGCCACACTTGAGGAAAAATAAACAACCACAAAATCATACACTTATGTCCCACATTCTTCCTTGTAACTTCCCACTAAGATGAATCACTACACATGAATTTTGAAGGAACAAAACACAGTATGACTACTTAGAATTCCTCTGCTTTAAATAATTTCTGTTTATATTAAAAGTAGTGTAAATTAAAGATTAGGAAATTGGGAAGTTTCCACAATTAAGCACATTAACCTACTGACAAATCTGAAATCCCTCCCCTCTTTGGGGAGGGAAGGGAAAGGAAGGAAAAACAAAACAAAAACACCCCAAACATTTTAAAGGGGTTCACAGAACTTTTTTGAAAAGTCAGTGATCTAAAGCCTACATAGTGTCAAGATGCCACCCCCCAGCCACTGAAATCAGAGAAGGGAGGAACAGCTATTCCAAAACAAGAGTACTCAAAACAAAACAAAGTAGCTGTTTGAATTTTCCCTGAAGTGCCTCCTCCCTGGAGAGCTGGAGCAGCCCCAGCAGGGACAGATGAGCAGGATGCAGGTGAGATCACTGAGCCAGGAAACCAACAGCTGCAGATCTAAAGGGGCTGAGCATCTGGGCCATTATCACACACAGATCATGGTGTAAACAGGTAAACCAGACAGACTGATTCCTACACTAACTCCCCCTGGTAACATTTTGCATGTTCAGTTGCAAGGCACAGGAAATAGTCTGGTATCACGCTCGTTCCTTCAAGAAATATCCTCTGTATGGACACAGCACCTCAGTGATCTGGTTTTTCTCAACTCTGTCCAGAAAACTAATCCATAACTTCTTGCAAAGCTTCTCTGGTTCCTCACTGCTAAATAAACGTCAAAAATCAACCCCAGGCACCAAGATCTGGTTTCTGTACCTCTGCTGCACCAGCACAAGTTCATACACTGCCTTTAGATGCAATTTAAAAAATGGGTTCTAAAGTAAGTTGGAAAAGAGAACACTTGGCAGGTGCTAAGCCTAACTGCTGGGGTTTGCCAACACCACCACCACAGGGGTGTCATCAGTGATACCTTCACCTGCTTCAAATGCTGCACTGTGCCATGACACCACAGCCAAAGGACCCCGAGTATTTTGGGAGCAGAGGTGATGGCTCTGCCACCCCCCAGGGTGAGTGAATCACACACAAGGTGAAGAGAGGCAGTTTGTGTGCAGATTTACAGAGATGTCATCCTGTCTAGTCTCAGCACGTCAAATCATGTCTCGATGCAGCTTTTAGAGATTCAAGCACATGATCCCAGGACCTACACTCCCTCCACCAGCACAAGTGCACCCAGAGCTGGGTATGGGTGCTACAGGTGTGTTTCTTTCTAGAATCATGGAATGGTTTGGGTTGGAAGAGGCCTTAAAGATCACCTAGATCCAACTCCCTGCATGGGCAGGGACACCTCCCACCAGCCCAGGTTGCTCCAAGCCCCATCCAACCTGCCCTGAACACTTCCAGGGATGGAGCTTCCACAGCTTCCCTGGGCAACCTGGGCCAGGCTCTCACCACCCTCACACTCCACAATTCCCTCTTCATGTCTCACCTCAATCTTCCTCTTCCAGTTTTCATCCCTTCCCCCTTGTCCTCTCCCTCCCTGCCCTTGTCCCAAGTCCCTCCCCAGCTTTCCTGGAGCCCCTTCAGGCACTGGAAGCTGCTCTAAGGTCTCCCTGGAGCCTTCTCTTCTCCAAGTTGAACAACCCCAACCCTCAGCCTGTATTACAGGAGAGGAGCTCCAGCCCTCCTGTCTTTGAGGCCCTTCTGTGGACTTGCTCCAACAGTTCCACATCCTTACATTGTGGATTCCAGAACTGGGCACAGTACTCCAGGTGGAGTCTCACAAGAGCAGAACAGAGAGAGAGAAACACCCCTCTTGACCTGGTGTTGTTGCTTTTGGAAGAGGCCTTAAAGATCACCTAGATCCAACTCCCTGCATGGGCAGGGACACCTCCCACCAGCCCAGGTTGCTCCAAGCCCCATCCAACCTGCCCTGAACACTTCCAGGGATGAGGGAGCTTTGGGGTAGCCTGCACAGCCAGTAGCACCTGCAGCTCAGCCTGTGCTGCACTGGTGGCTGCAGCACCCTGTGCCAGGGCCACCTTCTTTATCAACAGTGTTTGACCCCTGAAGCTCAAGCATTTCCACAGGGTGCTCAGCCACCCTGCATCCCAGGCTTGCTCTAATCCACACCTGAGGGAGGTTCACTGTACACCTCTTGATCCAAGCCTCTTTTGGAGAAAAACCTCAAACAGGATAGTGGCACCACAGCAAAACAGGGAGAAAGAACCGACTGCTGGTACTGGCTCCTACTGCCACCTCTGTCTTGAGACTCCTGGAAAAGCAACCTGCACATTTCCTTTGCTTCCTTAGCTCAAAGAGGAATGTAAGGCTCCCCAAGGCTGAATCTTCCCTGCATTTTTAGTTTAGATGCTTTCCAAAGAGTTAAAATTTGATGACAGCTTTGGTAAGTAAGTGCATTTTATCTAAAGGATGACAAGGATGTTCCCAGAAGTATCTGAACTGATTATCAGGAACTTCCAAGTTTCACTCCTGCCACAATTGCAGTTTTTACTAAGGAGCTCTTAGCCTGCCCTGGGGAACCTGCTCCAAAACCAACAGGATCTAACTGCTTCTACTATGCTCAAGTTCTTGACTGTTAGTTCAAAGGCAACAAGATCCAACACCTTCTCCTGAGATTAGCACAAGTGCCTGCCCTTAAGCTTCAGGGTACAACTGAAGGCAAGTACCAATAGATCACAACACAACAGGATTGTTTCTTCTTTCCCTTCAAAATAAAGTCAACTTTGAATTAAGGTAGTTCAAGTAGATGAGTTAAAACCAAAAACTGTACTTCAGGCAGTCATGCCTCAGATCTCATGAGACCTCACCTGGAGCACTGTGTCCAGTTCTGGAGCCCCCAACACATGAAGCTGTTGGAATGAGACCAGAGGAGGCCACAAAGATGATCCAAGGGCTGGAGCAGCTCTGCTCTGGAGACAGGCTGAGACAGTTGGGGGTGTTTCTATGATTCTATGCCAAGAGATCACAGTGTGCATGTATTTTACGAAGACAGTATTAGTATTCTCTTGATAACAGATTCATTTGCATACACAGCTATTACAGGAATCACTGCCTTCTAATGCTTGTGGGTTCAGCTGATGGCAAGTTCCTCCTGCTCCAGCTCTGTCACCATGCCACCTCTTCTCTCAGATCCCAGAGCACACCAGACATCCCACTCACCATGCGGAAGCTTAACCAGTCCCTGTGGCAATAAGGGAAGGTTCCATCCAGTTCCAGGGGCAGCTGGGAGCTGTCTATGTGCTTGTGGAGGGACTTCATGGAGGTGAGAAGTTCAAACTGCACAGGAAGAGAAGAAATATGAGCACATTTGCATTAGGGTGTATTAGAGGAGGAGGGGATGGTTAACAAAAGACAGCAGCCTTTCTTTTTTATCTGTATTGCACAGCACACATCTGGAAGAGAACTACAGTAGAAAGGAACAGAAATCAGTTCAATCTTGTTGTACAGCTCTGTGGGTGAACCTTGAGGGACTGCAGGTCACAACATGCTGTTCCACCAAGCTGAACATCTGCCATGGAAGTCTGGCAGCAGCAACCTTCTCCAGAGCCAGCACCTCCTGGTGCAAGCACAGCAGCTCCCTCTCAGCTCCTGCCTCCTGCATTTGTTTGGGGAGCCTGAGAGGTTAAATCCAGTCTCCAGCTTCTCCATCTACCTCCTGGAACAACAGTCTAGCAAAGCAGCCTCTGCCCTTCCTTCAACTCTCCACTCATCACAGCAGCTATTCATTCACTCCAAATATTTCCTGGATCTTGACACAGATAATTTGCCTTCTATGAGTCTGCAGGGCCTCAGAGCATTGTTAGACTCACCCAAGAAACAGACAAGTGCTCCTGCAGGTAGTTGGAAGCCAGCCTAGACACCAGGAACTCAGGTGCAGACATCCAGCCCCCCTCCACACACAGTGAAGTTCCCACCTCCTGACAAAATAGCAATGATGCTTCCAATTCCTCCTGCATGCCTGTGTCTTTATCAGCCTTTGCTCTGCTCCCTCCCACGCCTTTTGGATTTGTTCAATGTGTTTGATGTCTCCTGTAGCTCCCTCTCCATGCACAAGCTTGCAGTCCCCTTTCCCACTTCCAAATCTTCCACATGGTGGCAATGAGGAAATGGACTAATGGCATTTGTTCTTCTTTAGCCTTCCAGGGCAGCTCAACACACAGAGAAAACCTGATGCTGTTCAAGTTTTCATTCACAGGGGCCAAAAGGGAGGTCCTGGCCTACTCCAACATCTACAGGGTTTTGGCAGGCACAGAATTTCTGTCCATTCTTGTAGCTTGTAACAGTCTTAGAGCAGAGGAAGATGACTGAGATGCAGTCTGATTCCTGCTCACTCCCCACAAAGAGAGGCTGAGAACCTACACTTCTTACACAGCTGTGGAATACCCAGGCAGACTGACTTCTAGTGGTGAATCTCCCTCCTCCATTAGCACCTCCCCTCAGTCTTCCCAGCCACAGACACACACACCCCACTTCCTCTTCCCCCTCTTGCAGAAGCCTCTCAGCCACTGAGAGCAGCAGCTATGAAGAGAGGAAACAGGAGACATGCAACACTCAGGAAAGCAACAAGTACCTTCCCAGAATGGAGTTCAGGATTTAGCCTGATGGGATCTCTTCCTGACCAAGGATCTCCCCCCTTATTAAGAGGAGAAGCTGAAAAGCATCTCTATTACTGTTAGTGGTGCAAGGCTCTTCCATACAGCTGTCCATGTTCCCAACAAGCTCCTCTGTGCCTTGGAGGGCCCCAACAGACTGACAACTATGGCACAAATGTCCCAGATGGACTCAGCAATGAACACAGCATGGCAGGGCTACACTCTGCTCACATCAGCTTTACAGCCCTATAAATACCACACCCGTAAGAGGCCACAGGCCATAAAATACAGGGAACTACAGAGATTTCATGTGAGAATAAACACACAGAGTTAAACAGAGGATATCAAGAGTTTCCCAGGAGGAATGGTTCCATTACCTGTCCTGCTGGTGGCTTCTCCATCCGAAAAGCTGGATCCCTTTCAACGAGCAGCAGCACCCCATGGATACAGTGGGGATCCATGTCCTAAAACAGAACAGAGCACAAACCCATTCTTGAGCTGCCTGGGATGCAAAGGAGAATGCACCATACCAGGCTTGTACAGGAGACTGCAATTTATCCTTCACAGGTATTTAGGAAGCCTGGAAGGAGGTCACCAGGTATAAGGAGGCCCACCAGGGTTATGTCCTTAAGGCAGTCTGCTGCAGATGAACTAGTCCTGCAGCAGTTAAGGAAGCAATGAAAGAGGTCATGCCTTGGCTACACTAAAAAAAAAGCCCTTTGCACAGGAAAATGTGTCAGAGCCAGGGGAAGAACCATATTCAATGTCCAAGCTTTTTCTTGATAATTTCCCTGGTCACTTCTCCTAACTGAAAGGAACTTTTTTTTTTCTTCACAGATGCCAAAAATGTCATCTTATCTTTACCTACTGCCAGCTCACAATCAAGGACTTGCATCCTGTTGCTACTGTTAAACCAACAGAAATTCCAAACACAAGGGACGTCTGGCAGCTGGAGTTCAAATGCTGGGATGCAGGAGCAGCTCTCCAGTTACAAAAGCACTCCACGGGGAAGTGAGAAACAATCACAGGGAATGGGAAACGTAGCAGAAAGATCCAGACCACGGAGACAAGACTCACTAAATACATGATGCCTGGACCAGGAAAGCAGGAACTGAGCTGCCATTCCACACGGTTAAATAGGAGCCATCCCACCTGGATGCAAAGACCTTGGAAACTGTCAAGCAGCAAATCCTGCCCAGTATTGCTCAAGCTGCAGGGAACCTGCCCACCAGAAGCCCATAACAAGGGACACTTGTTTGAATAAATGGCTCTGGCAGTGATTGAGGTTAAACATCCACATGAGCAGCAGGGCCAGAGCAGAGAGGCGAGTGCAGCAGCAGAGACTGAGCCACCAAACTTGACAGCAGGCCCAGTACAGCAATTAAGAAACAAAGCAAACACAAGGAGACCAAACTCTGCAAGTGAGAGTTGGGGTGTTCAGACTGGAGAAGAGAAGGCTCCAGGAAGACCTTAGAGCACCTTGCAGTGCCTGAAGGGGCTCCAGGAAAGCTGGGGAGGGACTTGGGACAAGGGCAGGGAGGGAGAGGACAAGGGGGAAGGGATTAAAACTGGAAGAGGGGAGATTGAGGTGGGACATGAGGAGGAAATTCTTCCCTGTGAGGGTGGTGAGACACTGAAACAGGTTGCCCAGGGAAGCTGTGGCTGCCCCATCCCTGGCAGTGTTGAAGGGCAGGTTGGATGGGGCTTGGAGCAACCTGGGCTGGTGCGAGGTGTCCCTGCCCATGCAGGGGTTTGGGACTGGATGATCTTGAAGGTCCCTTCCAACTCAAACCAGTCTGGGATTCTATGATTCTATGGTAAGTAAAAGCAGCAGCAGAGATTCCAGAGCAGGAAAATACCCTTCTCTCATCTAGTTTTAAACAGGATCCTTTTGAACTGGTAGGAAAAAATCCCAACTCAAATACCCCTCAGAACAGCAAGAGGTTTCTCAGTCTTCTTAAATCCATTTTTCCAAAGCAAATAATTCACACTTTCACTGTTATTTGAACACTGATCAAAAGGCCAAAGAGATTTTATGGCATAATTAGGCTCTATTAGGAAAATACTGTAGCTCATCTAAGGGAGGAAAGGGAGGCATTAGAGCTGCATTAGCAGCTCTCAATGTGTCTGCCAGAAAGTACTGAAAGATGAAGACTGGTCACAGCTTCAAGACAGATCATGGTACTAAATACATTTATTCTTTCATAATCCTCCTTCTACCCCCCCAGTCACGAGACGGGCAATCTGAGTGAGGGATAAAGGTGGTGATGGTGTAACATGAGGTTACAACAACAGCCAAAACACTCACTTGTTTGTTACTTCTGAAAATAGAGACTGAAAAAAACATTAATAAATAAAACTGTCAGGAGAGAAGTTCAAGGTTTTCCAAGAAGTCCTATTTCCAAATAAATCAAGTCTTTTTCACCATATTTTTTCTTTAAACAGCTGAAGAGTCAGTCTCATCCAGCACTGATGGAGCAATCCAAACAGACTAAAACAGTTTACAGGAGCACCCTGGGACACAGGCAGAGCTGGGAGCAGCTGGATGCTACTTGAGGAAGCTTTCCTGCAGCTTTTCTGCACAACCTCTTCCCTAACAAAACCAGCTATCTGGAAGGAAGAGACAAGAGTCCTCCATCTCCCAAAACAGGCAAAGTGTGGACAGAATAAAACCACAGAATCACGGAATTGTTAAGGTTGGAAGGGATCTTAAAGATATCTAGTTCCAACCCCCCTGCCATGAGCAGGGAACCTTCCACTAGACCAGGTTGCAGAAAACGTCCTCCAACCTGGCCTTGAAAACCTCCAGGGATGGGGCATCAGCAACCTCCCTGAGCAACCCATTCCAGTTCCTCACCACCCTGAGAGTGAAGAATTTCTTCCTAATACCTAAGCTAGTAGCCCCTAAATAAAGGGGCACCCACAGGAGCTCAGAATAAACAGGGAAAATACCCATCCCTTTGAGATTACTTTTTTAAGGTAAGAGCATGATATACTTTTTTCCACCTTTCTAAGGCAGAAGCTTCAGGCTTCTGACTTTCTTATCCTAATGGAAACTCATGGCCACAACTGGCACACCTGGAAGCACAGGCTACCAGGAATGTCTGTGCAGTTGGGACAGTCCCCAGATACCATGTTCAATGTCAATGTAACCACTTCTAATGGAGTAGTAGGAGGTCCCTGGTCTTTAACATCAGACCAAGGTCCTTTGTACTTCTGCAGGGACAAGGCATGTAAACACACCCCTTAAACAGAGAGGCTTGCACAGAAGTTTTCTACTTTGAACTGCTGCTCTTCTGAACTCTGTCTTCGTAAACAGACTCTTCCCATACCAACCCAACACACAGATGCAGCAGATGACAGGGTTAAGCATTCCCACTGATTGTGAAATTCAGAAGCATCTCACTCTATAAAGACTCAGAGGGCAATCCCACAGATATCTGTTCCCTGAACATCCCACTGTCCAGGCCCTTCCTGCTCACCAACCAAGGGATCAGCCCAGCACTACCAAGAAGCAAAGTTCCTCTGAACAGGCCTTCCAGCACAAAGCTCACTGGTGACCAAACATCACAGCAGCGTTTCCCTCCACAACAATCCTTGCTCCAAAGCATCAACCTGCAGCTTCCCACAGGAATAAGCATGGTCTGTTCTTGCAGCAGGTACACCCTGAGCATTTCCCCTCACCTCCATATGGAGCTGCCAGAGCTCCTCCTTGCTCCTTCCTGAGCTAGCTCTGCAGCACTGCTTTGCTCTCCCTCTGCTCCCAGTGCTGGCTGGGACAGAAGAATTTCTCACCTACCCGTACTCTAAAAAGGAAGGGTTGCAGAACACAATTCCCCCCACCCTGAAGGCAGAGAGGATGAGAAGCTTTCACCAGCTTAGGTGAAAGCTCCAGAGAGAGCAACTGTCTCCCAGTGCTGGAGGGAAACCTACGAGGACCAGAATTGTCTATTAGCATTTGAAAAGTCTGTTCACACATTTATTCCAGAAAGATGGAAGAGCAGAATAAGTATTTCATCAGGCTGACAGATTTTGACCCAGAAACCTGTGGGATCAAAGTCATCCCTCTCCAGGGAGGTTCTCTGGGGTTCACAGCACTGCAGAGGAAGGACTCTGCATCAGGGATCTCTGCTTGCCCACTGTGAAGCTCCTCACTGCTCAAGAGGAAAATGTCCCTTCCAAACTGAACAAGCACCACCAGATTTCAACATTTAACAGATTCCACCCACTCTATCATAGTGAGACTCACAAAAGCCATATAAATAAACTTGGAGAGCAGAACAGCAGAGAAGTGAGCTCCACACAGTTTGCTAGAGACAAGGGACACTGGAAGAGGCAGCAGGGATTTCAGAAAGGACCTTGAGGAGAGGATCTGTTTGGGACCTTACAGGCACAACAAAGAGTATGCCCCTGTATCCACTGGCCAGCAAACCTTGCTTTGCTCTAGAAAGCCAAGCTCACCCCACTGCAGTTACAGTCAGTTTTCTTTATTTCACAGAATTATAGCATGGTTTGGGTTGGAAGGGACCTTCAAGATCATCTAGATCCAACCCCCTGCATGGGCAGGGACACCTCCCACCAGCCCAGGCTGCTCCAAGCCCCATCCAACCTGCCCTTCAACACTGCCAGGGATGGGGCAGCCACAGCTTCTCTGGGCAACCTGTTCCAGTGTCTCACCAGCCTCACACTAAAGAATTTCTTCCTAATGTCCAACCTCTAGATTTCTCTATCCTTGTGTCAGAGAAGATAACAGTATTGCCATGGGATCACAGAGGGAAATACTACAGATCTCCAAACGGCTCAGAGGAACCAGGGGATTATTCCTGTGCCATAGTCAGGTGATGAGCTACTTGAGCAGGTCTGGTTCATGGCATCTGCAGAAGAGTCAGGGTAAGGACAGAAAAACCACAAGCAGAGTCATCAGCTGCTGTCAGTCACTGTCACCTAGAGAACACACTCAGCTCCAGCAGTCTGTCATGCAGCACATCAGCTCCTGTTAACTGTAGCACCACCCTGATAACGAGGAGCTCACACAGCCCTCACAGCAGGATATTCCAGGGGCTCTGCAAAAAGCCTGCCCATCTTCCTCTCCTCAGAGAGTAGGAAACTTAAGGTTGGAAAGGCTTTATCCCTGTCACACTTGTATGAGAATGGGGACACAAAAAGCACACTGACCCAACATGTTGCTGATTTCCAAATTGTCCCACTAAGACACAACCACAGGCAACACTCCAAAGCTTTAGCCAGCCACGTGGGCACAGCAGAAAAGAGAAGATAACTTACCTGTTACCTCTGCAGAACACAGCAGGGCACCAGATTACTCCTTCACCACAAAGAACGAGCACATGGAGAGAGCTCACAGCTCCACCCAGCCCAGGAAGCAGGACAGAGCTCTGACTCAGCCCCAACTCTCAGATGTGGCACAAACCACAGAGAGACCAGCCTCATTAACACACTGTCCCGTTCCAGTCTGCAGGCTTGGAGTCCTAAGAGACCTAAGCTCTGATTAAAAAGGAACACCTGCTTAAACATGATTAGTCATAGCTACAACCCAGCAACTCCTTGGGTTTCTAACAGCAGCAGAGAGCTGCTGTGTGGGAGTGGGGGCAACACAACCCACTTGCTCTCCAAGTGACTGAGAGGAAAGCCTTTGACCTGAAGCAATATAGAGTTACAGCACATCTGATTCCAATCACTCACCAACAGCCACATCAACAGCTGCATGTGCTCTTCTACCTGGCGTGACCCTTTGCTCCACAGCAGGCAGAGGCCTCTCTTCCTGCCCTCTCCAGGGTGGGCAAAAATCCCTGAGTATTTCCCAGATCCCCTCACTGCAGGGGATAACACCTCTGAGCACTATAATTCATGATAGTGTTCAAACTTCATAGGATTCCAGACTGGTTTGGGTTGGAAGGGACCTTCAAGATCATCCACTTCCAACCCCCCTGCATGGGCAGGGACACCTCCCACCAGCCCAGGCTGCTCCAAGCCCCATCCAACCTGCCCTTCAACACTGCCAGGGATGGGGCAGCCACAGCTTTTCTGGGCAACCTGGGGCCACGGTCTCATCATCCCCACACTAAACCATTTCTTCCTAATATCTCATCTAAATCTCCCCTCTTCCAGTTTTAATTCATTCCCCCTTGTCCTATCACTGCATGTCTTTGTACAAAGTACATATACAAGTACAAATACTTCCCAGCAGGGATAACCATGTTCTAGGACTAGGAATATCTCTGGGAATGGTGGATGTCCTAGCAGGCAATCAAATCCATAAACTCTTTATGAGATTCCCTACAGAAGATGCCACAATGAATTTTCCACATGAGCAAAGTGTCTTGAGTGTTACAGAGCAAGGCTCTGGTTTCTCAAAATCAGGTCTTACCAATAATCCCAGAAAAAAAAGACAGAAGTTTTCACTTAACTATATAGAGGGAGAAAAGCTGGGAGAGGTGTCAGTTGGGTACAGGCTGTTCTCAGCACTGAGATGGAACCAGCTCTGGAGGGGTGGGGAAGGCTGTTCTCTTCTAACTCAGACTTGCTTTGGTTTTCTGCTTTGTCTGCAGACTGGCAAGTCCACGCCAGCCTCCTGAAACAAGGCTGGGTGCCTAGCTCCTCCTCCCAAAGCCAGCTGGAAGCCAGGTGGCAGATGGAGACAGAAGCCACAGATGGAGACGTGACAGAGAGGCAGCCAGCTCCAGGCTCACCTGCAGTGTGCTGAAGGCCTTGAAGAGAGCAGGAACTGGGGAACAGCGACGAGCATCCACAAGGACAGTCAGACCCAAAGCCTGACACTCTGGTCTGCAAGGACAGAGAAAGAGGTCATGTTTGTCACCAATGAAAAATAAGAGTATGAAAACAGAACCCATGGTCATGACAGGTGAAAAAGCCCTAGTATATTATGGCTCTGTAAGGACAGGAGCTACCTGCCACCTTCTAACCAAAACAGACACACAGAAACCACCACCTGGATTGCTCAGTTTGTACCATTACTATTTCCACCTGATCTTCCCATTTCTCCAGTTCCCAGGACACATCTCACTGACTGCAGAGGTGCAGATACCTGCTCTGCATAACCCACACCTAACTGTGCTCAGGCAAGACTTGGCCTTAGCCACACTGCTTCACAAGAGCAGCCATTCTGGATCAGACCTAACATCTATGCTGCCCAGAACCAGATCTGAAGGGAGAAGCATAAGAAACAAAGCATGAGTAGCAGAAGCTGTCTCATGGGTTAAGCCTGTCCCCTTAAACAATGGTTTAAAGGCTTAAAAAACTTTAATAATAATTAAAAAAAATCACTACTAGAGTTAACTTTACCTCTTATTAATCACCTAAAAGTGAAACAAAGTTCCAGTTGAGCCTGACATGAGCTAGGAGAAGACAGGAAGAGTAACTGCAGCAAACTCCATCCTGCAGACTCTAAAAACAACTGTCAGCCAGACATCAGGGAAGATTTTCTCAAGTCTAGCAGATCTTCTCTCCCTCCCAGCTTGCAGGCCCAGCCTTAAATATCATGTCACAACACTGTTTCAGGGAGCTGCTGCATGACTGCCCCATCAGAGCTCCCAAATCCCATTTTCTGAGCTAATGAAGGATAATGAGAACAGCTTGGATTCATGGCAACATCTGAAAACATTCAGTACACACCTAATTCCACCAGACCACGTGCACAAGGCTCATACAGAACAGCCAAAGTGCTTGCTGAGCACCAGGCAGATCCCCACCTGTACTATTTTGGGACTGTCTGGACCAGGTTGCTAGGCCAACAAAACCAGCCTGTTCCACCCTCAGCTTCCACACCCCTGGAAAGCAAAATCACCACAACAGCAGTGTCCACCCTGTCACCCCAAGAGTGTCACAAACCTGGGGATGCTGTGCAGGTACAGAAGGAGGCGTACAAGCTCAGGGGTGTTGCAGTGGGGGTTTAGCCAGGCTGTGTTCCTTGTGGTTATTATGGCCACTGCACGTCCTGATTTGTCTCTGGTACCTGTCAAGAGAGAGGGAGGAAAAAAGTCACACAGGGAAGTCAAGAGAGGCTGGTTTCAGGTGGCTATGCCTCATATCCCCCTACTACCACCCCATCACCTACTGGAAGTGCTCCAAAGAACCAGATATAGTTGCAGTTGTGTGTTGCAGATTGCAGTAGGCCATGAACACACTTCCAAAGTACCCAAATGCTGCCCCAGAGTGAAGCAGCTGAGCTCTGCTTGGCTTTCTCTCCTGATAGTGTTAAATCTGGACTGCTCTTGTCTACCCTCATTCTTCATAAATATGGCTGGAGTTGGCTAGTGACAACCCAACCTTCTGAGAAACTCCAGTGTGTCATTAGCTCAAGATAAACAGTCTCACCTCTACTTAGAACACGCACACTGGTGTTAAAGAAAACACAGACAGGTTTGCAGAACAAGATGAGAGGGGCAATCCGCACTGCAGGCTGGGCCTAGCACCTCCCCAGACATTTCTTCCTGGAAGCAAAGCCCTGGAGCAGGAACCCAGAGCTCCTCCTCAGAGGCTGCAGAGTGGACAGCCTGGATCACACTCCTGCCTGCAGCTCTGCCAAGGGCAGTTGGTGCCAGGCTTTTGTTAGTCACAGAGCTCACCCAGTGCCAAGGGAACTAGTAAAGCCCAGCATGGACAACACAGCCCAGCTGTGGTGTGTTGAGGAAGGAGAAACCCCTCTGCTTCACTTAGCCAGGACAAGAGTTCTCTGCCCCCACTTCCCACAAGCCCAAAGACACAGCTCCCATGGGAACCAAGCCTGCTCCATGAGGTCCCAAAAGTAAATGAGAGTCTGGCTTTGGGCTTTATCTGCACCAGGCACTTATAACTCTGAAGGGGAGGATGTAACAGTGCCATTTCTGGAAGTGCATCCAGCCTCCTCTCCAGATGCAAAGGATGGGTAAGGAGCACCCCACTTTGGAGCCCCAGAGGTGCCTCTGCCATTCAAAAGAAGTGACCAGCCTTCTGCCACCACACACGTTCCCAGGAAGGCAAGTGAGCTGGAGAACAGCAGGGACTGCACCTCCATTGTGTGACAAGTAGCTCACAAGAACAGCAGCCCTTTCCTGTCATACAAATTGTGTGAGAGGGAGAGGAAAAATCCCAAGCACAAGATGAAACCAGAAGCTTAGAAAAAGCTGTATCTTTCTGGCTCTTCTGAACTTACCACTACGCCAGGAGATACTGTCCTGGACCACCTCTCTTCCTATCCCAGGGAAAAGCACATGAGCTGACAGATAAAACAGACACAGATGGGCAGCTCCAAGCACAAAAAACTGCCCTGGTGTCATCTCAATCTGTCACCAGGATTTGACTTGAGTAAGGGCCACAGACACAGATGGATATCACTTAGAAGGAGAGCCTTCTCTTTCCCAGGGACCAGGTACCAAACAGCAGGGACAAAATATTTCCTTGTCTGAATCAGGAGTTCTATTATTCCTGAAATATGGTCTTCTGGATTATTAATCATAAAAAGTTATCCTTCATAATATGATTATTATATCATATACCAATGTCTAACAAGTCCTTAACTGAGTGGTGAGTGGATTCCCTCAGGTGGCAGGATTGCCCACCAGAATCCAAAATGAGACAGGCAGGAGAAGAGCCATCAGTCAAATCCAATTCTGCTGCTACAGATGTGATTCCTCCCCTAGACAAACACTCTCTTGGAAGTGGCATCAAACCCAAACCTTCTTTCTTCAATGCACTTTGTGGGCACATCCTTTCATCCCATATGCAAATGCATTTGCCTCGTTTAACATTTGTACATGACAATAGAAATCTGTGACAAAGGGCACAATTAGGGCATTAGGTGACAAGTTTTCTACAGCAGCAAGGACTATAAGCTTACAGAAAGACCCCTTTCTCGAGCACTGTGATTTTCTGGCTGCTATACACAGCATAAAAACATTCAACTTCATCAGCAGACCAGAAGATTAGAAAAACTCCTTTGGAATTTGTTGTAACAATTTCCCTCCCACTACAAAATTGCAAGTTTGAAAGTACCAGCATTCTGCCCTGCACTTGGTTTCCCAATTCACCTTCTTCCAGTAGACTGAAAAAGTCTTAATTCCCTTTTCTCCTTCTCCACACAAAGGTGTTTTCATCTCGGGCATCTTAGGAGACAAATGACCTTCCAGTTTCTTGCCATAAGACATCCAGTTCAGTTACAAGAAAGGGCTGTCACTCTCCTCTGCACCATCTCAAATCTCCTTCCTAACTTCTCCACTCTGCACAGGTCCACCTGACTTCTGCTCTACTCTCTGGCCAATTTTCAACTCCACCTGGCTCCTGAGTTGATCAAACACAGCTACCTTCCTGCCCTTGGCAACCTTCTTGCTGCCTGGGAAAGGAAGCAAGCAGAGGGACAAGCTGCTTCCCACTGGAGAGGTAAGATCCCACCTCCTCTGCTTTACTTTGTTTGGTAAAACACAAAGACCTCTTGTGTGAGTCCTGGCTCCTCTATCCAACAGCCTCAGCTCTGTTCACTGCTCTGCCAATATTTGTCCCATGCAGAGGTTTAATTTGCAGCAATTTGATGCTTGCTGCCACATCAAGTGCAAACACTGAATAATGTTTGACCCCTAGCTGATCTCAGCAGAACAATTCTGGGAAGTCCACCCTTGACAGCTAGTTTTGCCATCTGCTGTTGAGCTACACTCCTGTTCATCTACACTTCACTGGGAGATTCCTTTCAACTCCGTTTTGTCATGAAATCAAATGCTTCCTAAAAATCTATTCTATCTAGGCTGCTACATCAACCACACTTGTGATTACTAAGAATAAAATTGGTTTTACATAAGTACTGTCAAACAGCCTCTTCTGCACTGCTATCCTTTAATTATCTACCAAGTGCATCAAGTTCCTATTGTTTTGGCCAGGTCTGATGCCAGGCCCACCAGCCCATCATTAGCTGCACCCTTATCCTTTCTTTTTGAACTCCTTGTATGAGCCCACAGAGTTGGCATTTTCTGACTCAGACGTGCATGATTAACATTCCAAGACTCCTGGGAGCAAGTTAACATGATTTTCATGAGAGGGAAGTTCTGCTTCCTGCCCTTCCCATTCAGAAACTTTAGAGGATGCAAGAAGTATTCATTCTGGAGAGGTTTGGGGATGAAAGACATGGAAGTGGCATCATTCTGCAGTGCTCCAAAGAGAGGCTCTCCTGCAAGCACAATTCCCAGGCACATTCTGGCTCAGCTACTCACCTGGCAGGCAGGCAACGCCGCTCCGGAGCACCTCTGGGTTCACATCCTTGACTATGGACCGACCACCCCAGGCACTGCCCAGCCCTGGGGATGTTGGGGGAGTAAGAGCTGCTGAGGTGTCCTCCAGGGCACTGACTTTGCTCACTGGTTTCACCACATCTGTGCTTGTTGCTTCTTTTCTTGTCTCTTCCCCTTTTGACACCATCCCTGTAAGACAAGCAGCAGTCAGAAGCTGGAGCAGAGCTGCACCCAAAAGGTCCCAGGTGAGTACCACAGGGGTCAGGGTTGGAAAGGACCTCTGAAGATCATCTAGTCTGGGCCCCCTACTAGAGCAGGATCACACCTACAGTACATCCCACAGGAACAGGTCCAGATTATGGAGGGACCTGCCCACAGCCCCACCACTTTGCAGCTCCTCCAGCCCTCATGCCAGCACCATGCACCTTCCAAACCTGGTTATAACGTTAATATTACTGCGATTCTAAAAAAACCAAACCAATTTATTGTGAAGTTTGCAAGTTACAAAAACCCAACTGAGGATTGCTGCAATCCAAGCCATTTTTAAAAGGTAACGTATCAAGCAGTACATGTCTGCTCACAGCCTGGAAGTCTGGCGTGGTGCAAGTCCTTGGCCAAACTCCAACAGCCTGAGAATGTTGAAGTGATAAAGCAGCTCCTGACAGGGAGAGCTGCTCCAGCAGAGCAGAATTACTCCCCCAACACCACTTTCAGATTAGTTCCTGAAAATATGAATACAACTCGAAGCTGACAAATCAGCTGGAAATTAGCCAGAAGAAATCTTGTTCTGCTCGTCCAGATCTTTTTAATAAACAGTTAATGTGAAAGTCAGAAACCTATTTTAAACCCCTGAAGAACAAGGTGATTACACCCATCAGCTCTGTTTGAGAACTGGAGAAAATGCTTCCTTTGCCTGACACACCAGCTCTCAAGTACAAAGCAGCAGAAGCAATTACTTCTAAAATTAAACATCTGAGCTCCTACATGGAAACTAATGCTGGTTTTATCAAGTTTCAATTTTCATGTAAAAGTCACTGGAAAGAATAGAAAAAAAAATATCTACCTCCTGTGTAAGAAGCATTATTCCCCATTTCCCAACATTTTAAGAATTGGAAGCCAATAATACGTCTTCAATCTTTAGCATCCTAAGTACACCACAATTTTATCCCACTTTCAGAAAGAGAAACTAGAGGAAAGGCCACACTTTGCTGCAAATCCTGACACCTCAACATCTACCAAGGAAAAAATCGGCCTCTCTTTTGGAAAATAAGAGTGTGGAGTATTTATTTGCTTGCCATGAAGGCAGACGTTTTAATTGCTACTTCAAATTGATTCCAGCCATCCTACCTTCCTGCTGCATCAACAATGCTGACAATTGACTCAGTTTATTTACTAACAGATTCCAATACTTCATTAAAGAGCAGGACCAGGAACAAAGCAGTCCTTGAAGTGGCTTTCAATACAAGTTTTAGCAGTGGAGATTTACAGGTTGAGGCTCAGCCCAAACTGCTTTCAAAATTGCTAAAGTGGGTGAGAGAAGTGCCCTGAGCAGCATGGCTCACTGTGCAAAATTATCCCACTGTGGGGGGAAACAAGGAGGGGCTCCAGGGCTCTGCACCAATGCCGTGATGGAGCAGCTGCCCATCACTCTTTGGTAACATCCCCTCTTGAGGGAGCATCCCTGGGACCCAGATTAGCATCTGCTGCATTTGACCACATAAAATGCTGTGAGGGCTTCAGGGCTCTGCACAGTTCTGGGATAAATCAGAGCTCAGTTCTCTTCCTAGTACTGCCTGAGCCTCCACTTCCCATGGATGAAAAGGTCATTTGCTTTGGACAACCCTGTTAGACCTTCCTGAAGTGCCATTTCAGGGCGGCACTGATCTCCTGTAGATGAGCTATACTGGAGATCATCTAGCCATGTAAGTCATGCCCCAAAAGTTGCACACTAAAGGGTACTAGACTTTTCTAGGAGAACATCTTCCCAAGGAACTGGAAAGGCCTGGAAATAAGCATAACCACCGTTTCATAGAATGGTAGGGGTTGGAAGGGATCTCTGGAGATCATGTAGTCCAAACAAGTCCAACCTTTACTACAACCAAGTTTGTAGTAAAGGAATCTGCATTAAATCAAGCAAGCCTGCAAAGAGGACCAAAAGGTGGCATTTAAAGAAGTCAAGAAAGGCAACATAGCTTTACTGAAGGTACCACACCATGGCAAGAGCAAGGCATAAATCTACCCTTTCAGGAATGAGGTAGCAGCTCCCAAAACCTTGGAGAGAGAAGCATTGTGCTCAGACCACCAGGCACAGTCCTGATACTGGGCCTTTTTAGTCCCAGGGAAACCTCACAAGAGTTGTGCAGCCTCCAGATTATATACACCTTGCCCCAACAAACCTCTTCCCTGAGCTGCTGGGGCTCAGTTTGGATTTGCAGACCCCACCTGTCCCCCAGCAGGCCCAAGCACAGTGTTTGCCACTTGCAATCTGGGGCAGAGGCACTTCCCAAAGCGGAAATTGGAGAAGGCGGAGGATTACATCAAAAAGCAAATTGAGGACTGGGACATCTGAATTTGCCATGTTTGCAGGTTCCACCTTTCCCTGAGGTTAAGGATGTGGTAGAGGAGGATTTGCTTGTGTGCATTTCAAAGAGACATTAGCATTTTTCCTGCACACTGCCCCAGCACCAGGATCATCTAGGCTAACATCACGTAGGAACAGAGAGCTGAACAAAACAGGAGCTGCTGAATAAGCCCCAGTGGGGCTTTTCAACCAATTTCTTGATGATCAAGATATTTTCCATCCCCGAAATATAAGGATTCTTTCCAGAGCTGCAAAGTTTCAAAATGCACTTTCACTTGCATTAGTTAGTCATGAAGGAAAAAAAGCAGTCAGGTTTGCTGTGAATGAAACCAGTGTAAATTTTAAGCCACCAACTCACATTTGACTCCAAGTGTTTCTAAGAGAGATCCTACTCGTACAGAACATAAAGCTCAGTTTGTGACTGGGAGTGGGAGGAAGGGGAGAGAGTTAAGGGAGAAGGAAAAATCTGCAGACACAGCAAACTCAGCTCTGAATGTGTATTTTGACTTAAGCTTTAATGTCTGCCTTAACAAAGCAAGCTCCCCCACCTCACCCAGAGCAAATCGTGCCTCTGCCCACTGCTGCTGAGGTGTGAAGTGCAGAGCTGAATTGGCCCAGTAAAGCTTAAGATTTGCTGTTATTTATAGTTTAGGCAAGATACCCCCAGTTTCCAATCATAGTAGCAAAATGACCTCAACAGGAGACAGTTAGAGAGAATTTAACTTGCCCACAGACTGGCTGGCTGGAAAAGTCAATTTGTAGGACTGAGAGCAGGGCATTTGCTTCACTTAGTCATTTTATCTCTGAATTATCTTATTATTGTATCAGTGAGGGTTTAACAGGGCTAGATAAGGGGATGGCTCGCTTGGATCTCTAAGCAATCAAATGTAATTGAATGGATTAAGCTTGTTACAGTTCCAGCTATAGTGTTTAAGAAATAGTGCCCTCATTAACAGACATCTGAGCTGCCTTAAAGAGTTCAGTCTGTTGCTTTCGGG